AGGATCACAGGGCCATAGGGCCATAACAGCATAGGGCCGGGGCCCAGGGCAGAGCCACTATCTGCTGTTTGCATGTCCCTGTAGTAAAAGTAAAAGTTACCCTTAGCCCAGGAAGATAAACATGTATAAATCTGCAATTGTTTCCAGCAATAAATATTTCTCATCAACCACTGGCAAGGTGATTTTGAAGAAACATATGAGATCAAAGTCCCTGCTGCTGGCAATGGAGCTGCATCCATTTACATCAGCAAATAATGAAGTCTCGAGAATAAACATGAATTTGCAATGTATCCTCATTTACAATATGCCTCTTTTCACCAACACATCCACATCTTTTATCTTCTTATGATTTTGCATTGGCAGATTGAAGCACTATATTTTCTAAAAACAGGTAAAAAAAATAGTCACCAGGATGCCTAGACCTGTTTTGACTAGTAGATCTCCCCCATACCACCAATTATTAGTGCAATAATGATCCTTTTCAAACTGTTTTGAATTCCAACTTTGCATGAGCTCAGAGGAGTGGATCATCATGAAATTAGCACTTCACCATCCTGTTACGCCAACAAGGGACTAGGGATGTGAACAGTTAAATGATTCATTGTTTAACTGATCTGGCTCAGCTTATCGGTTATCTTTTTGCCTGGGGCAGGGAGCAGTCTGGGAAGGAAGGCAGAGAAGAGAAGCCCTGTAGTGCCCCAGCGAGAACCAGAAGGTGGAAGGGTAGGAGGGAGGGAGAGATAAGTAAGAAGAAGGGGAAGGGTGACTAATAACTAATAGCTAAGCTAGGTGTAGGGAGGGAGAGAGAAGCAAGAAAGAAAGAGGGGAGGAGGGAATGGGAGGGTAGGGATTGCCTCCTGCTCCCTCCCTCACAGCACAACACAGCAGGCCGGTAAAGCCCCTCTCTGGCTGCTGCCTGCCTGGTGGAGCTGTGCTGCCTGCCCCTTCCCTTCTGTGCTGGCCCTGAAAAGCTGTATGCTGGTGGGTGCAGCAACTTGTTGGCTGCTGCCACCAGGAGCTTCCTGGGCTGTGCTACCTGCCTGGCAGGGCTGCTTTGACCCCCAGCTCCCTGCATTGCTCTGGGTGGGTGGGTGCAACCCCTCCTCCATGGTAGGGTGAGGCAGGGCAGGTGCTGCCCAATGCCGCGACACCTGTCCCCATCCCTGCTCCCAGCCAGATGCAGCACCTTCTGTTGCTACAACTGCCACAGGGCCTGGCAGGGCAAGGTAGACATAAGTGGACACAGGGCCTGTGGCTCAACCCCAAAGCATGCCCTGCCCACCCTCTCTGCACCTGGACTGGAGCTCAGGGGGGACCCACCCACCTGCCCACTTTGTTGTGAGGTGCAGCCCTCAGGAGCTGCTGAGTCCCCCGTTGTACCTTGGAGGGCTGGAAGTGCCACGGCTGGTGTGAGGCTGGTGTAGGTAGGGACGCCCCATCAGCCAGACTGCA